CCCTAAACCCTCAAACCCTACATCCTGAAGCCAGTATCCTTCGCATCCGAAAGCTGGTAACCTTTTATCGAAACTTTCTCTCCTGAACCTGAAACCCGAACCCCAGGCCCAAACTCAAAAGGCCCGGAACCTCAACTCCCAGTCTGTTGAAGATGCACCTCGCGGAAGAGCTTTTCAGCTTCGCTCAGCCGTCCTTGCTCCTGCTTTCTAGCCCCAAAACACTTTTGATAATCACAGGTGTCGGAACTCGAATCAGCTTGAGGGGTTATGCTAGGGTCTCGGATTCAGAATTAAGTTCAGGACGTATGACCAGGTGCGCGGCTTAAACACAGATACAGAGATAGATAGACTCGGTGAACCTTTGGCCCTCGTTGAAAAACTTAGTGGGTTGTGGTGGTTTTTCTGGGTCTGCTATGAAGGCGAAACATGATCCACGGGATGGATTGATGGATTGATGGATGGAGGAGAACGGGAGATGGGGGGCTGGGTGGGTCGATGGATGGAGGGAGGGAGGGCTGGATGGATCATGCTTATGACCCATCATAATTAAGCGGCATCGTTGTCATCGGTATCGGTATCGAGATAGGCACTGCATGTACCATTAGCACCATCATACAGTAACCATCCTCATCTCCATCAACACCACCACCTCCACCCACGACACCCACGCCACCGCACCCCCGCCGCCATCGCCACCGCCGCCACCATCGCCGCCGCCGCCGCCGCCACAATGACGACAACAAAATGACAAATCGCAAGCCCAAGCAGCCCGGACCTGAAACCATGCAAGTCGCAGAAACAAGAAAAACTCATCCTGAACAGCGAGGCCAAGGTGACCCACCTGGGCGTGGCTGTGATCTCGAGGATTGGGCGGGCTCCGGGTGCTTCGCCTAGCTGTCTACGAGGCTTCCGGGCACACAAGTGAGGGTCTACGAGGAAAGCCGTCCAAGGTGTGGTATCTATGGTTTTCGGGCTGCGGATTTCTTGGGGTTTGTGGTTTCAGGCTTATGTTTTATGTGTTTATGTCTGAGGTCTGCTTATGAGCAGGATCGGGCAAATGGAAACGTTCTGCCGCATGTTTGTAATATTGTCCAGGTTTTGGTTTTGGGCGAAAGAAACGAAACCACCTAGTTCGTCCGAGTATTCTCCAGGTTCTCCATCGCACTGCTCATGGTCTGCAGGGGGTTTAACTAACCGGCACTTCAAGGCTGCAAGGCCGGGTTTCGGAACATGAGGCCGCTTGAAACATAACCCGCCCACCTCTGACAACACCCGAACAGCCCTGAAAGCACCCCGAATTTCACACACTAAAGTTCACTAAAGCAGTTGCTACAGATTCTACACCCTCAACAGCACCTCTTCCCTTCAGGTGAGCCGGGCAGCTGCGATGATCGTGTCCGGGTGGTTGCTTCCGTGCACTTGCTTCTTGCCCTGCAGCGCCTCTGCAGATATCAGTAGTAGAGGGGCCTTAGTAAGTAGCCTACAAGCGTTGGGATATCTTACACAAGTAAAGATTGTCATTGGCCACGATACCTGTATGCTAAGCATCTTTTATAGAAGCTAGAATCAGAAGGCGCAGGGCTCCGGGTTTGGCTATCGGGGTCATGGGTTTAGGGTTACCTAGAACCCTAAGCCCTATGATAAACCCTAAAGCTCTAAACCCTANNCCTAAACCCCTAAACCCGAAATCACTTGCCCTAAGTTTCAACCAGGCAGGAAGCCGTTTCTCCCAAGCGGAGACCCGTGACCGGAAGCCTTTTGCTCCTAAGCTCATCCCCAAAAAACCCTAAACCCCTTAACC